GGGGGGGCTTTCATTTTTGTGGAAGCTACATAGTTTCCAAGATTTCATATCTTAAGAAGGAAAAAAAAGACATGTAATGAAACATCATATTCTTTGTCCACAGAACAACCGGAACCACATGACCAAAGATGCCAAAAACGCGGCTAAACTGGAGAAAAAACTCAAAATCTTGTTAGGCGGTTATCAGGTGGGTGTCACACATGAGCCTTTGTCTGGTTTTCATCATGACTGGGTCGGATATGTAGATTGATGGGAAAAGACTGGAGTGATATCATTTTTAGAGCATTTGATCAGACTTATGTGTGGTTTTCAACTTGGTATGATGGGATAGAATCCAGAAGGGTGACATGAAATGACCTAGATAATGTACCGTATTTTTTGAGCTTTTTCTGGTTGTCTTCATTATATGATGGATATAGAATGGTGGTGGTAAAAGACAAAAGTGATATGGTTTTGTTGAGAGCCGAGAAATGAGATATATGAACCATGATTTACTGATGTCTGCCTGGGGTCTGGCACTTGAAGAAGGCGATGATAAGATAAAGCGTGTTTGTCCAAGTCATGGTCATGCTTGTAGCTGATGAATGTGAACAACACGTGTGGAGGAGTGGGGAATTGAGCCTGTCGAGGGTTGTTGGGTTGTTTTTTTCTCGTTGGTATTCAGGATTTTTTTATGCCTCTATCTTTGTCCTGACTGGGAACTTGGTGATTCATAGTAGAGATATGTCGTGTGTTTTGGCCTGTATATGCGCTTTAACTTTGAATTGTGGGGCTACTGTTTACAAAACAACACCTCATTTGTCCTCCCTTGTATCACTATCTTACTACTTGAAGGGTTTCTTGGATGCAGATGGTTGGAGGATGATGTAGCACATCTGGCTTATTATATCTTTCCTTCTGAATGGACTGCCTGCATCTACATAACTATATTAAGATTTGCAAAGGGAAAGATGAATATGGTTTTTTCGAAAGGACCATTTGAAAACGTTTAAATCTTTCTGCCCCTAGTTACCAAGAGTTACTCTTTTCAAGTGTATCATTCAAACTTTATACCTCATTTCTATAAGTTTCTAAGCTGAAAATGAAATGTAATAGGTTTCTGTGGATTGAAAGGGGGGGGGGGGGTGAGTAAGGAGGAGTAGTATAGATTCTATATCTGAATTGTGAGAAAATGGAAGAGATTGTGAGCATTATGTCTAACTTGATAATGAATAAATAGAATTTGTATAATGTATATATCCCCCACTGAACAGCAAGCTCTATGTACTTCACAATCTGTATCAATATCATTACCCCCAACAGACCTTAGAACACTCAGAAATGTTCTCGGCTTCTTGGAAAGCATACTTTTTTGTTTGTCCTCCCTTGTGGGGAGCTCAGGGTCAGGTGAAACAGCTGCAGGAAGTGACCGAGCAGATTAGACAGGCCGGCACGGGGAAATATGAATGTCTGAGCTGTAAAACTGGGAACAAAATTGAGTTGTGATTGTTACAACTTTGTGGCCTTCGTCTGTCCCTCTGGTGGCGAGCCCAGGGATTGGTGAAACAACTTCAGAAAGTGAATGAGCAGATAGAACACACCGCTGTGTCTGTGTAATTATTGTGTGTATGCTGAGGGAGGGGGGGGTATTGGGTGAAGTATGTGTCCAAATTGCAGAATTAATTAATTGAAAAATATTGAGTCATGAGCATTACGGTATGTCTTTAACTTGTCTGTCCTCCTTGTGGCGAGCCCAGAGACTGGTGAAACAACTGCTGGAAGTGGTGGAGCTGATAGAACACACCAGTGTGTGTGTGTGTGTAATTATTGTGTGTATGCTGGGGAAGGGAAGGGGTGGGTATGTATGTCCAAATTGTAGAATTGATTGAAATTGAATCATTTAGCAGTATAGTCATGAGCATTATATCTTGAACTTGTCTGTCTGTGTGTCCTAGTCATGAGCCCAGGGATTGGTGAAACAGCTTCAGGAGGTGACGGAGCAGACAGAACCCACCAATGTGTGTGTGTGTGTGTGTAAACCGGGGGAGTGGGAATGGGGTAGTGTGTGTCCAAATTGTAGAGCTGATTGAAACTGAGTCATGAGCAGTATAGTCATGAGCATTATATCTTGAACTTTTTGTCTGTCTGCCCTTGTAGTCACGAGCCCAGGGACTGGTGAAACAGCTGCAGGAGGTGACGGAGCAGATGGAACACACCAGTGTGGAACTCTCCACCTTCGAGCACCTCCGTCAACATGAGATCGGAGCCATTCCCAAGAGACTGGAGGTATGTGGAGCGTCTTTTGTGATTGTTTGTGCTCAACGTGCTGCTAACGTCAGTCGTCTTTGGATGGTTGTGGTTCGAATCTTGCTGGGTTTCTCAATCAGCTTTGTGATGGCCCGTCTGAGCCATTGCCACAGTTGGTGGTGTAGTAGTTTAACACTTTGCAGTCACACAGCCAGCAGTACAAAATACCCCCCACCCAGCCAGGAGAGCGACTGCAACGAACTTCTCGGGCCTGTCGCAGAACTGCGCCAGGTGACCAGAACTGATAGTTTTCATCGTCACGTTGTAGCGCCAAGTGACTGCAAAGTGTTAACTTCTTGCCATTTGCTTGAAAAGGATGTGTGTTCTATTCCCAAGTGGGAAAGTTTAAAAAAAAATTGTTCTCTCTATCCACCTGTTGGGATATTTTACTCTTCTCAGTACCTCTGCCAGTGCAAGATGGTTGCCTTTTCCTAGAGACTAGAGGTGTGTAGACATCTTTTATGTCTGGAGCACCCTGCTTACACCAGCTTGTGGGTGGTTGAAGTTTGAATCTTGCTGGTATAGATGTAGATCTCTACAAGCTTTGTGGTGACCAGAGTGGGTCATCACCAGTGTCTGTGGTGTAGCAGTCAAGCTCTTCGCCGGTACATGTGGAAGATGCAAGTTCGATTTCCAAGTTGGGACATTTTATTGTTATTGAGTCTCTTACATGTGCCAAAGACTCATCCTTTAAATTGTCATTTAATTTTTTCCTCTACTTCTTTTGTATTTTTGTCACTGGCTTGTGAACTGCTATTTCTGGGGTGCCTTGATAGTCGAAGCAGACTTTGTGCTGTTGAGGAGGCTAGAGAGGTGAGCAGAGTAAGCCTGATTCCCCGTTTCGACTTCTCTGTTGACATCCACCCCTTGGCGCTCATATGACTCTATGCAGTTGCGAGCACCGTAAAACCTTACTAAAACAAACAACGAAGGTATATGAATGTCTTTTTTATCTGTGTAGGGATTCTTGCCTTGATAAATTTTGTTCCCAAACTCTTTACTGTCAACAGGAGGTAACCATTGCCTTAATACTAATTTCTAAGCCTGGTTACTCATTTTTGGGGGGTTTTTTGTTTACTAATATTATATGTAGGCCGCCCTGCAGAATGGTGAGTGTTTTTTTAGCGTGGGAAATTAACGGTTAAAAGTCGTCGAGGTAGAATAAAAAAGTACTTGGAATAGCAGCTTTTACCTGAATACTCCTCATCCCCACCCCACCCCCACCCACCCCCTTTATTTCAGTCTCTCACCGAAGATGTACAGAGACAGACGGAGAGAGAAAGAGAACTACAAAAACGATTCGGAGAGCTTCAGCACAGGAAAGACATCTTGTACGACTGATCTCACACAAACATTCTGGAGTACTGAAATACAACAACAACAACAACAGCAACAACAATAAAAACCATCTTGTACAAATATTCTTATTGAAGCATTTTGTAGAATTTCAACATTTCAGCACTTTAAAAAAAAAAACTTTCTATTGTCGTATTGTGGATAGTTTTGCATTCTTCTGAATCTGTTTGGTCCTGTATCATGTTTGTTTTCATTTCCCCACCCTTTACTGAGGTAATGTCCATAAGCTTTGTTTATATTTTAGCGAGTTTTGTCGATATTTTTAGGTTGTTCTGGTCTGCATCCAGTGGGCATCTCAAATATCAAATCTTGGGGGGGGGGGGGGTTATATTTCATTGGATGTTCATGTGAAGTATTGTAAAGTGGGGTGGTCCTTGGGTCAGCTCTTTATTTTGTTTGGTTATGTTGTTTTGGGTTTGTTTGGGGGGTTTTTTTTTAAGGGAGGGGGTATGGGGGATGTTGTAATCTCTCAGATGTTTTACTTCCAAGTGAAAAGGAACAATAAAAGAATATGTTTCAACAAAAGTTTGTGTTGCGACTTTTCAGCTTTGTTGTAATGTTTCAGAAGGAAATGTTTTGTTCGGTGTTTATGTTACTATGATATTAACTATAATAGGTTTGCCTAAAAGTAACGTATGAACCTACTCGCCATGTTGAACTGCTTGACCTCTTGCAACACGTCAAGGTCATATTATATGTGCGGAAGATAAGTTTTACAAGAGAGTAACAAAAACAAAAAAGGAGGAGAGATAATGACGATAGATGTTTGCATTGATAGAAAAGGAGGAGCAAACCACACCAGAACACCTACCAGCCAACCATATTTCCCAAGGTTTGGAGGAACAATATATTATTATACATAACTTACGTATAGTGGAGATGAGACCCTTTGAAACAGTTTTGTTTTCTGTGCTGACTACTAACTGTGAACTCCTCATACATGTGCAAGGCACTTGAATTAAATGAATTCAATCATAAATCAGGGATGTAAATCTTCCGGCTTTTTCCGTTTTTTCCGGCCGACTTGCCATTTGGGCCCCAGCTTTTAACAAAAGTCGACTATAAACAATGCATATATACATATACAAATGTACTAAATAGAGATTATTTGTTGTATTAGTAGAGGGAAAGAAACAAATATGATTTAGTCTCACTGTATTCTTATTCCAATCAGTGTGCGCGCACCGTATATTTTCCGTCTTTTTTTTCCTAACCTGTTTACATTCCTGATAAATGAATTTTCACTTTGGTCCCGTTCTTTTCGCTACTACAACTTCTACAACTGCAACTAGGCTACTTGTGCAACTATTTGTTCCTGGTAACCGACAAAGTCTACCGGCGTCTGTGGTGCAGCTGTTAGGGGTATCGCCGTCATGCAGGTGACCCGAGTTCAATTCTCAAGTAGGGAGGGGTTTTTTTATTGAAGATCTCGATATTACTGGTGGGATGGTGTATCCATCTCAGTCCTGGTTGGCCCAAACAGATAAGGTCGAAGCCCGTCTCTCAAATTATCAGATTATTGTCGATGGGGGCGTAAAACACCTGCATTAAAAAGAAAAAGAAGCAAGCCAATAGACAGGTGACCTGAAATATTTCACTGGTTCTTTCCTATCAAACATAATAATAATAATAATGATAGTTATGGTAATAATATTAATGATGATAATAATAATAATAATAATAATAATAATAATAGCATCCTTATTAAATCTCTCTTTCTTTTCATTGTTTTATGCTAAACTCTAGTATGGGGGCTATCGTAGCCCAGATGTTTTAAGGTGTTTGCCTCTCATTCAAAGGTCCCGAGTTGGAATCCGGGTAGCGACGGAAACATTTTCTTCTCTAAAATTGTGTCCTTTCATCTCCTTTCCTTCCCTCAAGCAATGTTCTGTCGTCTGTTTTCGTCTCCACTTTCTACCCCCACCCCTCACCTCCTTTGCCCCCTCCTCTGGACTCTTAACTCTTTCTGCAGCCTTTCTACTGCTACTCCTTGGCTACTTCTTACTGCTGTCTTTCAGCCACACCTCTGATCTTCTGGTAGGAAAGATCTACACCTAGCATTCTCGAACAAGGGCGAAATATCTCGGAGGTTTCGTGTACAAGTTGCGCACGTTAAAGATCCTGGTGGTCTAAAATCAATAAGAGTAGGCTTCGGCCGCCACCCGGGCAAAATTCATAATTCCCTATCAACTGAAAATGTTTAATGTGTCCCACGTGCTCATAAGACCTTATGCAGTTGCGAGCGCCGTAAAACACTTACGAATAAAAAATCCCTACTACCGTAACAGTAACATCTCTAATAGTGGGTGGTTGGCGGGTGCTCTGGTGTGGTTTGCTCCTTCTTTCCATAAAATATATGTCTCTATCTCCCCTTCTTCTTTTTTGTGTTTGTTATTCTCCTGTAACACACCCAATCTCCGGCACTTATATGACCTTATTGTGTTGCAAGTGCCGAAAATCTCTTTCCTCAAACTCAAACCAGAGCTGCCATAGACCCATAGAATATAGACCAATCAACACACCGGACCTGCACGATGACCTTGTAGTACTACGTCACTGTTGCATCTAAATGAAATGTACGACGCAGTGGAATCGGGCGCTCGTCAATTTTTATTTTTAAAAAAAAATTTTTTTTGTTTTTTTTTTTGGGGGGGGGATATTTAGGGAGATATTGGTATCATATTAACGCCTGTTCATTTGCCTTGCTGTGGAGGAGAAAAAAAAATTACACTTTTTTATCTTGAATAGAAGTCAGGATATTTACGATTGAAGGAGGGTGGAGGCGCTTTGTTTCAGAGGTAACATTGGCGAGGACATGGCCGCCAAAGTTTGGTTACTTCTAAAGAGCTTGACAGTCCTTGAAAACTTACAGTTTACAGTAGTTTTTCTTCCTTTAATTAATCAACGTTTTTAGGTAAATTCCTTACAGTGATGTGCTTTTAAATGAACATGAAAGATGTTGATCCTGAGAACAAAAATTCGATCAAATTTGTCAAGCCAGCAGAAAAATGTCGGTATCTTTGATGTCATTATTTTGACGAGCGCCTGATTTCACCACGATGCCTCACATGTTTGTTATAGCAACTCTAGAATGCGGCTAAACCCCGGGTGTGTGACCCCGGGTAACCTACCTTCTGACCCCCAACGGCCTCTATCATCATCACTCCAACCGCCCCCACCCTTCAAAAACGGACGTAAATGTTACAATCTGACATGAGTGACTTGCCCATTTTCAGGACACACGCACGCACGCACGCAGTCGCACGCGTACATACACATAAACACACACACGCACACATAAACACACACACACACACACACACACA